GGTGGGGGGACAGTAGGGGGCTGGGGACATGTGCCAGGCAGTCAATGAGGGATGGACCCCACTCAGTGCTGGAGTATATTCAGCAATGCCTGGCACTCTGGGAGGTGTATGAGGGCACCCCCTGCCTTCTGGCCTTAGCCAGTGCAGGCATCTGCCTGAATTCCCCAACAGGAGAGTGAACATGAGTTCCCTTCATTAACGGACCAACCTATGCAGTTTAGACAAACCTGTGAAAATTGGATTTATACCCTCCCTCTCCCCAGGCTGTTTGACTGTCTGTGCTTAGCCCTGGTGGTTGAAGGGTTCACAGCAAAAGTTTTTGTTAAAGGTTCAGCCCCTGCTTTCCTTTATTCAAGTGTAATAGCTCACTGATAATTCTCAGAAGTCCTTTAGCAAACCCAGGAAAAGCCAGAACTGACTTTATTCATATTTCTAAAGTTAAAAAAAAATACAGTTTCAAAAGTGATTTTTTTTTCTTGAAATTAATAATAATGCATTGTTTGGGGAAAAAATCTGTATTTTAAAAATGGAATCAATAACCTGCAGTTTCTAGAGTCAAAAGGCCAATGTGATTGTTCAAAAAGATCACTCAAATTCTTTCCATTCTCTACAGTCCAATGCTCAGCTGAGATTTTATCAACAAAATGCCACTAGGAGTTTTACTATGATTTTAGGGAAGCAGGGCCAAAACTTTTAGAAGAACATGTATTCATTCTTGTGTCCTCACATGAACAGGCAAATCTCAACACACAAGTGACTAGGCAGATACATATATATGCACACATGCAGAAACCTCATAGTGGGTGCATCTACGTGTGCCTCTTTTAAGTGGGCTTAGCCTAAAATCACCATTATTAAGGCTGACTTTAGACCTGCCTTTTAATAATTAGATTCTCAGTGTTCCAAGCCATCCTGTAATATTTCATCATGATGCCTACCTGTTATTTGTTATGCTACCCTTATTGTGCATGCATAATTGACTGTGGACATAGGCTTTAATGGATCACATCAGGAACAGCCATAGGCACCAGATATGGCAATTCCTTATTTCAATATGTTTCACAAATTACTTTAATTGCTACAAGCTTCCTTAATGATGCTACTGGTTAAGAGAACAAAACCTAATTTCATAAAAGCTTCCTTATAATGCAGAAAGGTACAGTAGGTTTGCATGAAAAGCAAGGTAATACAGATGGGATATGATGTTAAATTTGATCTAGCTGGTGTATTCCTCACCTCCCCCCAGGCAGCAGGTGGAGGCTCCACAGGTGGATAATACTTGGGGACATCCCAAGCCACAGCAGTCATGAACCACTTGAAATCCTTGCACTTGAGGTGCTTGCGAAGCTCCTTCTGGGCAGAGATATCACCAGTGGAGAGGTGTCTGTACTCGGGCCGCCGCTGGTAAATGTATTCTGCAAACTCATCCATCCATGTCTCTGCCACACGCTTCAGGTTCTGTGCAGCAGAAAAAACCAGTAATTAATCTGTTCAGGTTCTTACTGAATGATACCACTGACAGCCTCCAACTTGTGATCTTTGCCAGCTTTGGATGGTGGTGTATTAAGCAAATATAAACCCTTTTGCAATTAAACAATGTTAGGAGCATGATGTAATTAGACTGATGGCTTCATGCAGTTTGTTTTTTTAGTGCTTCAGTGGAATTGCAGAATGGGGATTTAATTAGCCAGATACAGTAAAGACTTGACTAATTATTTCAACTGGAATCTTACCATGAAGCTCCATTTTTTTTCACCTGATTACTAAAATTGTGCTTTTTCGCACAGTCTTGATGCAGCTGGATTCTGAAGTTAAAGTTTAGCTTTTTGCATTAAAATACTGCATGCAGTCTAATTTCCCTCTCATGTACTCCTCCAGGGCCTCTAGATGTCCCCAATCTTTTAGAACCCAGAGTGATGTATCCACAAAGACAGAGTCAGTAACAAATTGTTGTTCTGTCCCTCCAGCTACAGCTACACACAACTAAGTAGGCATTCTTAATATGTTCAAAACACAGGATGTATACTGACACATGTATATATACACACTGCTGATGCCTGAAACAATTAATGCTTCATAGATGGACAAGCTAAGGAGGATCAACAAAGCAAAGACACCACCTTGTTTTCTGCTGTGGTGTTCACTTATGAAATGCGTAGGAGATTAGAAGATAAAGCTGCGTCCCACCTCTTACCCTGGAAAAAAACTGACCTTAGAAGAACTCTGCCATGCAAAACATTGATTTTCTGCTGAACTATCTTTTCTGGATAGGCTCTACCAGGCCTGAGAAAGGACTGAGTGTATGCCTCTGGCCCTCCCCTGCAGCACCCCTTTATGTGGATCATGACCAAGCCAGAGTTGTCCTCGGGATCCCAGTGCTGCCTAAGCAATTCACTAGTGCTGTTCTTGCACTGCCTCTGCACCTAACTTCCTTTTTGCAAGAACAATGGATATTTATATGCAGATGTGAATTTATCCTCGCTTTTCTCTCAACTCTCAAAAGAGCTGGGTCAAGACAGAGGCAGAGTCAAGGCAGAGGAAAACACTTCCATTACACACAGATGCTGCAGGGTGCAAGATCCCTAATTGCTGTGCATCAGGAGCAATTATAAGTCACAGCCTTGCCTTCTACAACACTTTTGTGGGCTTCACAGACCTTTTGCACTATTTTACATTTTTTGGACTGTTTTTTAAATTCTTGTTATCATTTCCAAAAACTGGAAAAATGTCTCATAATACAAGTGCAGGAGGTCACTGCATCCATGCATTTAGATAAGCCATAGATTAAGTAGTGTGCTACTGAATTATATTCTGTCAAGGTCAAAATAGAAGACCATGATAACTAAACATTGTTTAGACCTGCTGTCTGATTTCACAGGCAAAAATATGGACTACAGTTGGTAAATATAGGCCCCATCCACTGAGATACTGAACAAATCCTATGAAGGACTGTGCACCCTAAATTTCCATGGACTCCACAGAGCCAGATATTTTGCACACTAAGCATCTCATTCTTGTTTTTATGCACTTCTTTTACTGCCCCTGCATGCTGTACAGATGTTTGCATTCAGCTGTTCACAATGATACTCAAGTCTTTTTTTTTTGTACACTGGTGAGTACGGGTGATTCAAATAATTCCTTATAATTTGCTTTGTCTTTGTCACTATTGAATGCCATCTGCACTCATGCAGCACATTCCCATAATTTTGTTAGGTGCCTCTCAAGTTTTGGCTAACTGGGATCAGTTTGTCCTCTGCAAATTTCATTCTTTTCCTCTTTTGGGTCATTAGCATCTTGATAAACACTGGGCCTACAATGGAATATTGTGATACCCTGGTGCTACCCTTGATGAAAACTGAAATTTTTCCTTATTCTTTGCTTTGTATCTAAGACAGCTTCTGTTTCAGGACAATGCTTTTGCTTCTCAGTTCTTGCTCTTTATTCTATATGCCTATGACAACTATCTTTAGGAAGGCCACATAAAATAAGTCACCTGGTGTTTTGCAATCCACAGCTTTGACAGGTTTTAGTAGACTATTAAGGGGCATTTTTCTTTCTGTTACTGTTTTTTAAAGTTGCTAATCCAACCAAATCCTCATGAATTGGTATAGTCTTTTGGGGTGGGGTACAGACCCAGTCCATTTACACATTCACCTTACACCACTAATGCCTGTCTTTAGAAGTGCATGTTTTTCCACAAGTTTTACTAGTTTTCTTTCAATTAATCTTTAATACAATTAATATTTCATATTTAATACCTCAAGTTAAAACCTAGATTTCCACCAAAGCTGTTAAAATAACAATGTAAAAGCTATATCTTATTGGGTGACATTCTGACACTAGAGAATCTTATAGCTTTGCTTGTAAAAACAAATCCTCAAGCATTGCAATATTCTCTTTATAAAATGCTAGCTGCAACATGCTGAGATTTGTTCTGTAATAAGGTAGAGGACAATATACATCTGATAATCAGCAACATAAGGTAACATTTCCTTTCAGAACAGGCTCTGCACATTTGCAAGCCTGATTTCTATTCTGATTTGCTTTCAAGATTCGTTTGAAAACTCCTCTCCTGAATTTTATTAATTTAGTTTGCTTCAAGCATCTGCACAAACCAAGATGTCTCTGAACTAATAAGGCTTATCTAAATACAAAGGCAACGAGATATAGAACAAATGAAGTACATTCGGCTGGTGCTGAAAGATAAGTTTGTCTCCATGAAGCAAACACATTAAAACCTGCAGGAATAATGCAAGTGCAATTAAAGCAATTTAAGAAATCACAAAAGTAGTCCCTGTTCCTAAACGACTTACGTCCCACGTAAGGTTGTCTTTTGTTGCAACTCCACTGCAAACAAAGCAACACAATTTTCCAGGATAATTTACATGAAATGAGCATTCAGTAGTAAGGGAATAGGTTATTTCCAGGACAAAAGATAAAATAAATTTGATTTAAGAATGACAGCTACCCAGGCAATCTAGCTCTTTTGGAGGGAACCTTATAACATGGAGGTCTCCTGACCATGTGAGAAGACTATCTGGTTTTGTCTATGCAGATGGGGTCAAACTAGGTTTTATCCCACATTTATCAGGAGAGGCAAAAGTCAGAGTACCAGTGCAAAACTCATAGTACACCATCCACTCATGTATTTCGAACATCTTGTATAGTTCAATGGAAAGGTATTGGAGAGACTTTTAGAATACAGAATTATTTTTTAATCACTCTGCTGGATATCCTGGTGCCTCAGCAACAGAAGCCTTTCTGTACAAGATTCCTAGGAAGATAAAAGCTCTGTAGAACTGGAGCAGTGGCTTACCTCAATCACATCAAAGACCATCACTAACACAGCTCCCCCACCCCCTCCTTTGATTAGTGGTTAAACTAACAACAGCTCACCTATTATGAGGCACTAAGACTCCAAAACAGAAGTCTAATCTAAGTATTATAAACTTTTACCCCTTCAGGTTGGGATTCATGAATTATCCGTCAGTCTTCTATACAAGGGAGTCCAAAAGAAGCTTTTTACTGCTCTTCTTTTGTTACAGCTCTTGAATAGAGATCAAGAAGCAGTGGGTTTCTTAAACAGACTACTTTTTCTCTTGAAGTCTTTCTCCATCCTGCCATGATGCTAATTTACTCATCTTTTTTGCAGCTCTTCCAAATCTCTCTCTGGCCGTTGGTCTGAAGAGACCCAACAGCTTACTCTACTCCTTTTCACTTTTCCCCATAATTAGAAAACTGTATCTATCGTCCTTCTATTCTGGTCTGACTGGCCTTCTAATTGATAATTTGCTTCCTCCCAGGGAACTAACACCACTAGAATGTCTTAGTTTGGAACTAAACCTGGATCAAGTCCAGAGTCACTCAGAAAAGTCCAGTTCTCTCTGAGTTACTCTGATTTTATAATTTTAGAAATCATCCATAGAAAAATTTAGAATGTCCTGACAAGGACCCAAAGTAGCCTTTCTGTATGTAATACTGTCCATCGATATGCTCACATTACTTGGCCTTACATTTGCAGAAGTGGGAAGTACGTGCAACAGCTTCTTAACTGAACTGGGCATCTCGTAGTCTTCGTAAGGCTCGTTACTTACTGGAAGTCTTCCAAATCATTCTCAGAACCCCTGGAGATCCTGTTTATGTGGATATTTATATCACCACTGTATCTGAGCATGTATAGTAGATTACTGGGTTTTATCTAAACTGACAATATTACCTAATTACAGCAAAGATCATTTTTTTTGTTAAAATGAGCCCAATGCTAAAGAGTGCATTTAAACTGCAGTTAGTTTTAACACTTAGCTTGAATGCAGTTGCACAGGTTTGATCTTATGAAAACTAGTCAGGTCCCACCACATATGTAACATGTAACACATGTAACACAGCTAGCCTATATTTTTACTTCCAAGATGAATATGTTATGGAAAGGGAAGGATTTTGGTCACAGTTCCTCAGTTTCTGTTATTTCAGTCTGATTCTGACTCCTATATTACATACTTGAAGAGAGTTTAAGAAATAGCAAAGTGAAGAAAATAGGAAAATGCAGCCTTTGTCTTTGGGTTTGTACTTCAGTTGCTGGAGGAACACAGTGTGCCAAACTGATCATTGGAAAATGTTGCAAGATTAGATCTGTCATAGCTGGCCAAGCTAGACTTGCATTAATTAGAATGCAAATCCTCCCAAAATAAAAAGATGTAGGAAAAATACAAAGAAGCTGGGAATTGATACATCATGCAAGGAAGTTGCAGGAAGCTTAGATTCACATTTCTCATGGAAGAGCCATGAAAATAACAATATTTGGCTCTTTTCTTTACAAGCCTGGCAAAAATAACCTTTTAGCTGGGGGTATCATGGTACATGCATCTGCCACTGTGTGGGGTAGTGACAACTGTAGTCATAGAGCTGACTAATGTATCCCAAAGTGGAGGAAACCACCCTCCAAAAATGCCCAATCAAAA